CAAACGATATTTGCCGGTTTCACGTCGATGTAACGAGGTGTCATTGCTAAAGGCACAGAGGCAGCAACACTTTGAACTGCCATGTGAGCAGCTATTTGTTGATTGAATTGAATGAATGCCGAATTTAAAACAGCATAATTTTGTGGAGTCAACTTCGCCCTTTCAATGTCAGTGTTGAGTTGAGAGATGGCCTCTTTGTAGTAGGTAATCGTGTCGACCTTTTTGCCGAAACACAAAGAAGAAAGCACTGGAATAGACCCAATCTTCATCGTTGGTCGTTTCGTTTCCGGAATATACTTATCGAAGATGCCTTCGTCATTCTCTATTGAATGCACGTTCATATTAGCATTTTTCTGGCGTTTGGCCTCTTTCTTCAGTGCAGCTTTGATCAATTTACATTCGATTGTCTCCAGTTTTTCTACAAATTTCGTGCGTTTGTCCGCTTTGTCAGGCAGATCTTCAAGATTTCGATTGAGCCAGATGTATCGCACTTCCCCCGGAAATTGATCGAAGATTCGTAAGAGAACAGCCTGTGACATATAAGATTTAGGTATTCCAGTCACCAGAATAGTTGTCGCACTAGCGCGAGATTGATAGGCAGAACTTCTCAGCAGTGCTTGACGTTTTTCAACGAAAGTTTTCATCTCGGCGTATAGGAGGTAAAGAAATGCTCCGACGAAAATATAAGCAAGCACTAACGGAGCGGCATAACGTGAAGAATGACGCGGTGAAATATTACCAAACGTTAGTAGATCGAGACCTTTCTTGCCGTAAGATTCACCTTTTCCATCAACAGTGTAGATAGGAAATAAAATGATGGCTAATAGTACGAAAGAACTCAGAAAGAAAAGGCCATGCACGTAAATGTAACGGGCGAAAAAATAGGCGTCAAAACCAGAAGTACGAATGAGGTCTTCCTGTGGCATTCGTAACAGAGCCGGTAACCAACCAAAAAGACTGTTGGGTAACGGTTCGACACGTCGCTTTTCATCGCCGAGATATGTTTTCGGTGCATAAATACGTTTGAACATCCTTCTAATAATGATGAATATTGTGATTTCGAGCACAGCGATAGCTGCAGCAGTTACGAGCGTGGTAAGAAACTGCGAAAGAGAAGATCCTTGTGCACTTTTAACGGCGCTCGTGGTATTGCTTGCCATCACTCAGCAAATATCAATAAATGGTGTGTCAGAGGAGAACTGGATATGATGAAATACAGTTGCACGTCGTTTGCTTACTAATACAACTATCACACTACGTGTTTTTGATAATTGTATTGCAATTTTGTTATATCTAATAGCATTTATCTACCCGTATGAGAACGCTAGTAAGTCATTATACAAACACGACAAGTAGGCGACCTATTTTGAAATATTTGTATGCAGCAAAGAATAACGAAGAAAAAAAGTTGCGGATAGGAATAATTTTATACAGGAGTAGTAATTTTTTGAAAGACTGATATGAATTGTTAACCTACGATACGCAAAATACAGAAGGAGTAAAGCGAAGAACGCAAGAGAAAAAATTAATCAGAGTCAGATTAGACATACAATCCTTACGTCCTTAATACGTTTCAGACGGAATTTTCATACTTTTTATAAAAATGACTTTTTTCGTTTCCCGTCTAAAAGGTGTTAAGTGATACTTTTTGTCGCTCTATGAGTGGTTGTCAAACACATGTGAACACAAAACTAAACTTACTTTTTCCTTTCTCACTCGAATTTTGATATTCAATGCCGTCGTTTATTTTTTTCCCCGCGCACTTTGGTGTTGTAGAATGATTTTAGATTATCTGCCACGTATCCAATTGGTAGAGATGGATACTAAGATGATTGTGCAGTGTGTTGATAAATCTAAGTCTCGCAAAAGGTTTCTGTTGTCTTCTTTCTCTCTCTCTCTCTGTCATCGATGGTAAAGAAAGAAAAATCTCTTCGAAAATGAAATAGATTATCGAAATGATTGATCTATTTTATTTAGATAAGATCTTCATATAAATAAGAAAAAAAGATTTTCTCAATGAATTTGAATAGAATGGTGAGACGTTTAAGTTTATGTTTAAGTTTCAGAATGATATAATAGAAATTTATATTCTCGATTTCGTTGTGGTTCAAGATTAAAGCTTAAACCAATAGTAAGACCTTTCTAAGATGGTATTAATAATGATTTGAATTTGTGTTATTGTATGGCTTATTATTTTTGTCGAATTAATATGTGGTCATTGTTCATCGATATAGGATAGAGAATAATTTAATATAGCCATGTATTTAGAAGATTAAATAGTCGATGAGTACATAAGCATGGTAAACACATGTGTTGCTACATTTGCTTCGAAACTGAAATTTGAATGTGTTGTCGAATCGGACAGGTTTAAATTGAAAGTTAGAGAAAAAACCATACACATAAAAGGAGCTTGAGTTCTTTATATAATACTCGAGCTTTTGCTTTTATTTTTCATTTTCTCGTTGGATAAAAAAGGCTCGAATTGTATTGCTAAATACTATCCCATCACCAGAACAATCTATAGAAAAAAAAATGATATATTAAAAGGACCCTGTCGGATTTGGTGAGCATATCTGAATTGAGAAATCAAATATACCATCTTGATGAGCAGCTTGCGCCGCGTCGAATGGTATATAGGAAACCATGTTTTCATTAAGTTTTGAACGAACTAGAGTCAATTTACTTGTGGAGTACTAGCAGTACAAATCATGATCAATGGCTGATCAATGTTACCCCAGTGTCAGTCGAAGAAGTCTGTGAAAAATAATTCTTATATGCAGTTTGTAGAGCTTCTCACGGGCTACACGCTCATATATTTACATCTCCGACCGTTTCATCTTAACAGGGAAAAATGCGATTTTCCATCGACTTGGTATCTTTTTCACAAACAGTCGACGACGATGGGTCTCAATGTATTGACGTGTATCAATTACAGAAGATGTGACCATGCGCCAAACCTTGTCATAAATTGTGCATGAGATAGAGCTGCAAAACGCACTATTTGCAAGTAAAATTCTCCTGCCACTTTTGTTTTTTTCGAATTTTCCGTCGAATAAATTATTTTTGAAAATAATCTACCAAGCATTTTGAGTCCAACATCATTCAACTCGCCGTTTTAGGTAAGGTCGGATTTCGCTGTTCCGGCACCCCTAAAAACGCTTCAGTTCAGAACTTATGGTCGAGAAAAACCGGAATAATTTTTCCATGAGGCGGCACGGGTCTTTACATACCTTTAGTAGGACTATCGATTTCATATAGTCAAGTCTTCCCGGCTTTCAACTCATGTAATACTGGGCGCACCTGTGCGGAAGTACCCTAGAGTGGTAAACCGTATAACAACACGCACAGGATTCAGATTTGCATTAAGTCTCTCAGATCTCCTAAAATTGACAAGTGGTTGAGTTATGAGCTCATCGCGGTTTAAAGTGCATAAACGATGGAAAATATGATAGTAGTTGACTAGACGAAAATAAAGACGACGATTAGTCAAATTAGGAAGGCCTAAATCGTTAGCGAGTTTGACACTATCTGTAGTATAATCGAACTGCCGAGCTATCAGTCGAGCTGCAAGTTTTTGGACAGACTCAAAGGGTTTAGTATGCGTAAGAAACTTAGTATCAAAAACTGCGCTGCCATAGTCCAGTTTAGCCAAAACGCAACTATTGTAAAGATGAAGACGAAGAAAAGCTAGAGCTTTAGCAAATGTTCTATTTATGGCACCTAACATACGACGGCAAGCCAGAGCAGTTATTTTAAAATGAGGTTTCCAGCTTAGATCGTGTGAAAAATACAGCCCTAAAAGTTTGAGCGTATTTTCTGTTGGTAAATGTCGAAAAGAAAAAGATGCAGCTAGAGTTAAATATATCGAAGCTATACAAGAATTAAATCGACGTAATCCAAAATATATAGATGATATGAATGAAGTAAAATTAATAAATTTAAATTTAAATATTTTATTTTTCATAATATTTATAATCCTATTTTATGTATTTACAAGATGTCAAAGTTTTGAAAAAGATCATTAATAAAAAGAAAAATAACTCGATTTAAGTAGTCGTCCACAGTAAGAAAAATATAATTATAAAAATATATGTACAAATTGTTTATTTCATTATATTTTTATTTCTTTTTTAGATTACCAATTATATTTCAACAATTTTCTCAAACAATTAAAAATACTGACGCCGATCGAGATCTAAGTTTTGGCCAGAAACATATGGCGCTGGAATGAAAATGAATTGGCCAATTTTTGAATAAGAAAAAACGAAAATAATTTCTTCTTTATTCGTAGCCGCTCTTTTTCATTTTAGTGGGAAAATTTTGAAAGAAATGCAATTTGCATAAATTTTAAGTAAAGGTGCAGTCCACATAAGAACGGTAACCGACCTACTAACAATAACCCCTCTAATCGGTCCCAACCTTATCAGAAACACATCCGATTATCATATTCGATAATTTCGACCCTTCCGGACGCTTTCAGTCGAATATACCGATAACGATATAATTTAATTTTTTGTTAGCTGTTTGATTCTCTTTATGGAATCTGGATGATGAAATTTCAACTGCAGTTTCACTATTCTATTCTGATAAATAAAAAAAATAAAATCACCTATTAAAATATCTTAACTGTGAAAAACAATTTCTACAAATCAAACAAAAACTGTGCAGAAACTCATACTCCCAAGTGCACAAACACATTCCGATATAAAGGTTGAGCCGTAAACAACTCAACGCATTGAGAATATCAGATCGTAAGGTCACTTTATTGAGTGATCCACGGTTTATTTATAAAGAAAAAGAAATTGACGTTTATGAAATAAACAGAAACTTTATATTTATTTTATAAATATAAGGTGCAGTCAATTCTTGAGAAGATTATGAGATCTTGCCTGTTGTGTTGTTATAAACAAGAGAATTGATTTAGTGTAAGGTGCACGTAAAGCAAATTTCGAGCACTTTTTGTTTTTCGCTAAAAGGTACACCATCCGATGCAGAATTTGATGCTGATCACGAATATCAGCATCAGTTCAAAAATGTTTTGTTTTGGGGGAGAAAATTGCAAAATACTGAAAACCTCCAAAAACTTCCAAAATTTCTTACTTTTCGAAAAATACTCATAACTTTTTCTAGAAAGCTGCTACCAACTCAAAC